GCCAGCAGCACTGAGCTCAGGAATAAAAAAAATTAAAAAAGTAAAAAATACACCTCTAACAAACACAAATCCCCAAACCTGTGTGAAAGGTTTCACAATGTGCAGGCCAAGCCACAGGCCGGGCATGTAGGACGTCACAAATTTAGCATCAGTTAACATGAACTAATAAGAAAAAGCACAGGTGTTCTTTGACGGGAAAAAAAGAAGGTCATCTCACCTCTTTTCTGGACCCAGCCTTCCTTGACGACATTCTGATCAGTCATGGTGGCTTCTTCTGAAGGCCGCTCAGAGTACAGTGCCAGTGGTCTTCCCTGAACTCGGACGTTTGTGTGTTGCCTTGGCTTTCCAACTTATCTCACCTGACCTCAGACTTCCCCACCTGCTCCCTGCCGGACAACGCGATGCCCCCCCGTCTGTATCTCTCTCTCTCCCTTTCTTTCCGACTTTCACTTTCTTTTACGTCCTGCCACCATGCTAACTCAGCCTGATTTGCCCCCTGCTCCCCCGACCGACTCTGACCTGGCAGTGCTCCTCACCCCCCCCCTTCCTCGCAGTTTTGTTTGCGTTATTTTTTGTTGTTGTTGTTTTGTTTTTTGCTGTTCCTCGCTGTTGGCCTCTCGAGCTTCTCGATTCCACTCCTGTGTTCGGGCGCTCCAGGGGTGAGTCAGCCTGGAAGGATACAGAGAAGGAGGGGAAAGAGGGCAGGTCAATGGACAGTTTCCTCCGTACAACAAATGCGGCGGGCGAGCAGCCATTGTTCGGAGCTTTAACACATTTTCAATCAGTTTAGCGCCGAACCGTTTCGTTCTTCCCTCTGGTCAGTCTTTCACAAGCATATTTCCTCTCCGTTTATGCTCCCCTTACACTCCTTCACCCACTTCCACGCAAACTGACGTCCACCTTCTGCTAGCCTCTGTTCCAATGGTCAAAGGTATGACTTCATAGTGTCCCTCACTGAGCTCTTTGTGCTCAAACTGACAAAGGCAGATGAACATTACAGGATTTTCCTGAATTCTTAAAACTTTTTCTTCAATACTTGGAAAAATTTGATGAGAATTCAACCACACTGAGCGGCAAATCAGGGTATGAAGCACTGAAACAGCTGTTCAGTTAAACTAAAAGCAGTGGGATACTTTGTCCACTGTAATCTCTCTGATTATAGTGTTTGCTAGCTCAAAAATCTCATAATATCGTTTTGTCAAAAAGATTGCTTAGGGAACACAAATTTTAAATAGGTGACTCAAACGATGATCGCACTCAGCTTCGTGCCTTCGTATTTATGCACACAAATAAGAGGAAAAACAGTGATGAAAGAAATTGAGAGACCATCGGAGACGTTTTCCTTCACCTTTTAAATCATCCAGCCTCAAAACCTATAATATCTGTTCTGTTTCCACCTTTTTTCCTTTTCTTTTCCATCTTATTTTATAAAAACAGCCATTAAGTTATATTCTTCTTCTATTTTACCTTTTTCCCCAAAACTAATGTCTTGCCAAAGCCACTCAAAAGCCCTTTTCACATATCGATTGCAGCTTAGTTGGCAAACAGAAAGAAATCATGTTAAAATTAAATAAGCCACTTCGGCTCCTGTTTAGTCACACACACAGCGGTGGTTCAGTTCTCTCTATGCTCTCTAGACTGCCTAGTTTGAGGGGAATGAAAAAAAAATCTCACCCCTTCACCTGGTTTGGTTTTGCTTTTTCAAAGTGGACCAAAGTGAACTTCATCATGCATTTATAGCAGCTGCCCGTTTGGGGTGCTTTGCCCACAAAGAGCCCTTACCAGGAAACAAAAAACAGTTAGCTGCTGTGCTAACAGAGATGCAGAGCAACTTGTGTCCCATCACCTCCTCTTTTTTATTTGCCGGATGCTCCGTTTTGCTACCCTAGAGTACAGTAGTGTTGACATATAATCAACCGAGACTTGTGTTTTAAAGTTTTGTTTTTTTCTGGTTGCAGCCGGGTTCGGGTGAACTTTCACACCGGCCTAAAACAGCCGCCACGTCCAAGGAGACAAACTCTGGGACCAAACAGCAACGACGTAAATGCACCTTTACGTGCATCAGCTCCATGGGTTCAGCGGAGTTCGCTTTGGGACTGCACTCGAGGCTGACGGCTTTCGTTTAAGACCTCTAAGCTGTCACTTTGCATGTTATTTGAAAAAGAAAAAGACGGACACATATGTGCTGCTATGAGGAACCATTGTTTTGATTCATTTGGCAAATATAAGGCAAAAAAAACTTGCTTCTGTGGACAAAAAAACACCGTCTTTGAACTTTGATTCACTTTAATTCCAGGACTTAAACGCAATCTTTGCGTTAAAGAAAGCAAACTCTTTCAAACTCTTTACAGCAGTAGATTATAAAGAGAAAGCTGAATCTTAACTATGTGTGGTATCAGTGAGTACTCAGTTTGTACAGTGAGACTCCAAATAAACATTTGAGATCAATAAATCAAGCAGATAAATTGACTTCACAACTGGGACTGTGAGATCTAGTACCCAGAATATATTAGGCAATAATACATTGTTAAAATAATAAAATAATAATACATTGTTAAAAGACTAATGGCATCTTTGGTAGATTTCAAATAGATCTGTTTTAGTTTAGCTTTTTAGAACTATGTTGCATATGGGTTTATAGAAAAGATTGATAACCTTAATTCCAAGCAAGAAGAAAAAGGAAATTCCGTGCCAGGACATTTCTAAAATAACATTTCTGTCCGGGCTGTGCGGAGAAACGCCAACCTTCTACTTTTCAGGCCTCCACCTCAATGATCACTTCACTCTCACGCTGTGAAGTTTGCTTGTTTTTTCTTGCTCTTTGCAACACGACTCGCCATTGTCGATTGGACAATAGATGACAGGAAGGTTGCGTGTTGCAGCACTTGATTAAGGAGGAAGTCGAGGTGGGTGTAAAAAAGCCCGCGCGAGTGCATTCAACGTCCACGGTCTTGATCCAAAGGCCCTCCAAGTCTTTTCCCGGCCATTGATGTTTTAGCTGTGAACTAATCCAGAAGTGTGCGAGCTGCGGCATGTGGGGCTTCGCTGTAGCAACTCCAACTCCAATTTACAACAAGAGGACGTGGAGTGGAAATCACTGTTACACATCCCTCAAGGGGTATGGGGGAAAAAAATCTACACAAATGATGTATTCATTAACTTTGGACATTTATCCACACGCGCAGAACAAACTTGACTGATCTCGTTTACTTAAACAGATATAATAACAAAGGATATATCTAATTTGAAACATAAACAAGACCACTGGAGAAAATACAAAAGGGACTACTACATACAGGGGTTTATCAAATCTATCCCTATTGTGAAAAGCTATTAGATGGCGCTACATAAAAAGTCCCACCCAATAACCATAAAATTAAAAGCTTTCCATTGACTTATTCACAGATAACATGATGATTGGAGAAAAATAAACAATACAAAGAAGCACACTTCATGCCTAAGACTTCTAATCAACGTGACAAATCCAATATTTAACATGGGTTGACAGAACATTCCCTCTATTGATATCCATCTTTGATGCAAAGCCACCAAATGAAAACAATCAATGAGCATCCAGAGCTCGGAAATAAGCACAAGACTCCTCGTCTCAACCCCAACCATGACAACAAACACTGAACACCTGACAGGAGCGGGCCGGGGATTTTTGGAAGTGGCCTAAAAGCCTCGACCCCCCGGTGCAAGTGCGACAAGTCTCAGATTTATTGTCCAACCGCCGGGCCCTGGAGCCCACAAAAACAAACACAGAAACAACAGCTTTTGTTCCAAGGGCGTGTGGTGTTATCTGTTACATAACTAAATTCACATGGCGTGCTCCATTGTATTTCCGCTGGCCAGACGGTAATAACTGTCTGACAGCGACTCGGAGGGTCGATTAACCACCGCGAGCGTGTGGCACTTTTGTGTAAAAAAAAAAAAAAAAGGCGTTGAGACGCTTGTGCTAAACAGGGTGGGCTGTGATGGCTCGAGAGGAAGATGCCGGCTAACCAGGGATGCTAGCTGGGGGTGGGGGGTCGGGGAGTATAGGGGGGGGTGGGGGGGTGTTAGCATTAATATCAGCCTCCAAGCTAACTTAATGCCAGGCTAAAAGACGAGCTAGCTCTGAAACATGGTCAACGTTCAGCCAAAAGCGGACGAAGGAGTCTCTCGTATGGGCGTCATTCGAATGTTTGTTATCAGACACCCCCGTTTGCTGTATTAGTGGATTTCACATAGAGAAGAGGGGGACGCCGTGTTATTTCAGGGTCCCGGTTAATTCGGGAGAGGGGGGAGAATGGTGAGCCTGAAGGTGTCGTTAATAATGAAGATGGACCAGGCCAGAAGGACGGTTTCGCTTCCATTATTACCCCCTAATACCTCCTGAAACAGCAGCAGCATCCCGACGCCAGAATGGCGAATGACGTCGCAGCAGTCGGCTAACTGCAGCTAGCAGAGCATGCTAACCTGCCCCCGAGTTTAGGCTCAACTTAAAGCTGATCCCCCCCTTCGAATGATGCCCCGACATTTTCCCCATCACATGATCCAATATATTAGAGCGAAGCGCTGATTTATTTCACCTGTTAATCCAAGACTCATAAGGATGTCCCTTCCCCTTCCTTTTCTCCTCTATGGTTGCAGGAGATGTAACATCCCTCAGTTGCGAAAACAGGAGGAGGACAGCGATGGAGCCATGGTCGCTCCAGATGCCGATTCTGTAACGTGGAAGGCCAAAGAGGAAGGGGTTTACAGTCCAAAAACGAGACTGCCGTGGCTGACAGGCAGACAAACAGACGGACCCGCTAAGTCCCCGCTCCCTGAGCAGCTCCGTTAGGAAACCTTATTCAGATTCGAGTCGGCACTTTAGGTTCAGCCTCATCTGAATGGGAGGACCCCGGTGCCTTCATAGACTGTCGGAAATTTAGCTGTCATGCTCCATCTGATCGAGCCAGCTCATGAGCTGTCTGAATTAGTTTAGTTTACCCACCTTTTTCTTTGCTTTTCTTTTCCTTTTTTTATTTCTCTTTTTGATAACATTATCCACATTTTTTGTTGAGAGCTCAAAGTGGTGCGCCAACATCTTGTCAAAACAAATTTATTGAGCTACCCCTTGTTATTGCTTTACATTTTGTTTCCAAGGAGCTACTTCAAAAAAAATGAATTCGTGTTAGGAATTGTGTACTTTCTGATTTTGTTTCTCTTCTTTTTTTCTTTTTTGTGTGTGTGTGTGATTTTGAATTATTTGTTTAAAGGATTTGTTCTGTTTGTCTTAGTCTAGTCTTACAGAGACCTCCAGGGGACAAGATTTTTTTGATACATTAACTTGCAGTACTTTTGCTTTCAACATTTTTGCATCATCTCACAAAAAATTTGAGTCATCTATGTTAACATTTATGTTGTTTCATCCAAAGTGATTTACAATCTAGATACAATATTAGAATTAGCAAGATGACAATAAGGTTCATAGAAGGAAATCAGACTTTGTCAGAGGCAGAAGTGGTGACAGTGTAGAGAATAAGGGAAGTACAGAGATCCTTCCAGTGACAAACAGCTATTTGAGATCATTTTTGTTGAACTGCAGATGGGCAAGGCTGTCTTCTGGATTATGACGAGGATTGGGCAACGTACATCTCCTCATTGTGTCACTTTCTCTGGAAATAGTCGTAAAGAGACCCGCCTTTGTCAAATATCTACCTGCTCACCTTCCAACGACTCAGTGCCACCTGGCCACAACCAAACCAAATAATAGCAACCATTCTCAATTGTCTTACTCAGAAAATGCAAACATCTTCATTTTCCACCTTTCAACAAGGAACTCCCCACTCCTGCTTATCAGAGACTGAGTCACAAACCTGGACCAACTCCCTTCTTGAAGATGTGCTCCATCACAGCCATTTTAGAGATATATAAACTTTTTTACAAAACTCAAGCTTTTCAAATTCTTGCACTTCTGTCCATCTTGGTTTTTGCTCATACAAGATGAAGTATAATTTGCAAACTTGTGATCTAATGACAAGACATAAGAAAACTAATGCCAAAAATGTGCATATTTATTTGCAATAATGTGCACAGAATTAAATAAGGCTGGAGGCAAATTTCAGGATTCCGATTTATATTAAGTAAGTTGCAAGAGTACAGGAGGAACCAGTGACAACAGTTTTCTCCTGCGGGCATGTCACCAAAAGGATCTGCTACATACTTTACATTTTATATGTGTTACTTCAACAGACACTAATCTGAGAGTAAATCTTTTGTATCCACATATGGAATTGTATGAACAACCTAAACATACATTTTGAGACTTTACCTTTGCACAAAGTTTTATGTGCATTCTGTGTTACATTATTGAAAGGACCATGACATTTTTAAACAGGTAATGTTCAAATTGATTTAACAACATAAACTTACGTGTGCCAGATTTTAAATTGAAGATTTTCTGACTTAACCCTTGTGTGGTGTTTGGGTCTGTTAGGCCCGTTTTCATTTTTTATTAAAAGAAAAATGATATAATGAATTAATTTTTCAAACTCACTGACTTTGGCTCATTTTCTGTGAAGAACATATATCAGAATACACATTTAATGACCTCACACCGTACACCCCCCCACACATTACATTACATATAAGATATCCATGTCCACTGGACCCGGGGCTAAAAGAAGTGTGGAAATTGATGTTCTGTGTCCCACACACACGCACTCACAATGTTGCAACCTTGTGTGGGAACTGCAGGTGCACAAATACAAAAGAAACAGTTCCCACACATTGTTTGTCTGCTCTCAATTTCTCGCACATTTGACCCTCTGTCTATCTGCTAAAAATTGGAGGCGGGACCACACTGGCACAGCTTTGCCAGTGTGGTTTTTATCACAACTGATCAAGATGGCCGAAAGGTACTCTGCCCAGAGGGCCCTGGAATTGATTTTGGATGAGAGAGAGAAGTTCAGATAAGGTCAACATCTGTTCAGTATTTTAACACAAAAGTGTTTGATTGTGAGGCATTAAAAGCCACAAAATGCAACGGGTCAATCAGACCCACAAACACTGGCTGAGTAACAACAATATGAACATTATACAAGGGTTAATCATTTCAAACTAAAATTCTTTTGGACAAAGATTTTCCTTAAGCAGGCCAGGCTCTTTGCAAAAATGGGCAAAAACACATTTGACTATCATAATACAATTGCAGTGCATACATTTTAATGATAGAGCATTATACCTTAATATAATTAAAATATATGATTCCTTCACATATCAAACACTCACTTGCGTTGGAAATGTAATCTTCAATTCAATATCTGCATTGTCTACAGTTTAGACACTGTATACAATGTGTAGACTTTACACTCCCTAACCTGTAATATTTAAGGTAAACATACATTTTTTCAGTCATTTTGAAATAATCTAAAGTTTAGAGGTGAATGTTTTGAGCAATCAGAGCCAACTGACACAGTCCTGCTTGGTTGATGTTGAGTGTGCTTACTTTGTGTTGTAGATGGAGCTCAGTCTGGCCATAAATAAACTAACTACCTAACTAACTAACTTTTTTTTCCTATTTTTTCCATATGTATTTCTCTCCTTCCTGTTCGCCACTTTAGTTGATCCAACAACCAATTTTTTTCTGTTTCTCTTCTGTAGATTCCATTGTCACTGTCGATTTAATTTGCTGATCAAACCTGCCTCCCTGCTGCTGTGTGCTCAAACTCCACTTTACCATAACAGTAATTTACTTATGAATAATTTACTTCTAATAGTAGACATAGTCAATGGATTGCGGACAACTTTGTAACGTGTCTATACTCTAAAGTAGGAACACTCTGATACATTTTTATGGGCATGAAGTCACATGAGGCTGCGTTTTCCGGACTTTTTCTTTTTAGTTTTTTGTTTACTTTTAAAGTTTCAATATGATTTTGTTTATGTAGCATCCTGTGTTTTATTCCAGAGTTTCGAGTGCTTTCCATGCTCTTGGTTTCTTTACAATTACCTAATTTCCTCCCTGTGTTCTGTTTCCTGTGTTTTATTCTGTTGTTTTTTTCTGTTTCCTGTGTTTTCCTGCTTGGTCTCTGCCATCTTAACTTTCCATCCATCCATCCATATTCCCTAAGGGGTCACGGGGGGTGGGCTGGACTCTTATTCCAGCAGATTCCTAACCCTAACCCTGAACGGGTCGCATGTCTATCACAGAGCCACACAGAGACAACCACACAGACACTCACATTCGGACTCATCTTTCCTAACGAGTTTGTTCAGTGTGTTGGTGTCCTTTGCCTTGATTCTCACAGACCAAGACACTGTAGCAAAGAAGATGATGACCCTCAGACCCTTCTTGTAGATGGCATCTGTGTTGGTGGACCAGTCCAGTTTAATATCCAGTGTGTGTCTCAGGTACTTGTTTAAAGTATTTAGAGTACCTCTGTGGAAAGCTGTCTGTGGGGCGTTTTGTCCTTTTTAAAAATTATCCACAGCTATCAAAAATCAATTTTACTTCCGTGTTTGGAGCTGAATTCATAAGTGCAAATGCACGTGTTGAAGCCCAGCATCTCGAGCTGGTCCATGAGTTTTTATTTATGTGTTTTATATATGTATATGTACAGGTCATAGAATTGGAATGTCTTGAAAAGTTTTTTTTTTCAGGAAATACATTAAAGAAATTAAAGTTATATTAATTCACTATATACAGACTGATATATTTCAAATGTTTATTTCTATTCATGTTGAGATAACCCATAATGTAAAAAGATTAAAAATTGAAGACACCTGGTGCCACACTCTAATCACCAAATTAACTCAAAACACCTGCAAAGGCCTTTAAATGGCCCCTCAGTCTAGTTCTGTAGGCTACACTATCACGGGGAAGACTACTGACTTGACAGTTGTCCAAAAGGATGGCCATTAACACCTTGCACAAGGAGGGCAAGACACAAAAGGTCATGGCTAAATATGCTGGCTGTCCACAGAGCTCTGTGTCCAAGCATATTAAAAGAGAGGCAAAGGGAAGGAAAAGATGTGGTATAAAAAAAAGTGTAGAAGCAATAGGGATAACTGCACCCAGGAGAGGATTGTGAAACAATACCCATTCAAAAATGTGGGGGAGATTCACAAGGAGTGGACTGAAACCAGTGTCAGTTCTTTAAGAACCACCAGGAACAGACATATGCAAGACATGGGTTTAAGATTGTGTCAAGTCACTCTTAAACCAAAAACAGCATCAAGGGAATACATTTTTCACAGCCAGTGATGGTTTGGGGTGCCATGTCCTGTGCTTGTCCACTGTGTTATCAGAGGTCAACGCAGCTGCCTACCAGGATACTTTAGAGCCCTTCATGCTGCCGACTAACTTTGTGGTTGTAAATGCTCACACTTTTTATGTTCATACTTTTCAGTTGGCCAACATTCCTGAAAAAAAATAATCCTATTTTTGTATCAGTCTTAATATTTTTCTGAGATACAGAATTTTGGTTTTTCATTGTCAGTTATAACAATCAACAACATAATAAATATTTGCCCTCCTTGTGCAAGGTGTCAATGTTTTTTACTCATTTATTTATTTTTTTTGGGACAACTGTCAAGTCAGTACCGGTATTCTTACCTGTGATAGTGTAGCCTACAGAACTAGACTGAGAGGCCATTTAAAAGTTTTTGCAGGTGTTTTGAGTTAATTAGCTGATTAGAGTGTGGCACCAGGTGTCTTCAATATTTAATCTTTTCACATTATTCTAATTTTCTGACAAATTGAATTTGGGGTTTTCAATAGTTGTGGGTTATCAACATTAAAATAAATAAAAAATTAAAATATATAAAGTCTGTGTTTAGTGAATTAATATAACTTTAAGTTTTTTAAAGGATTTACTGATGATATTCTAATTTTATGACCAGCACCTGTGTATATGATATATAAGGATATGAGACGGCAGTTTACATGATGACTGTTGATCAGACAGGTCAGATTTGTAGGTTTCTTGCAGCAGGTCATCTGGTAGTCACCTATTTGCCGTAGCACCTGATCTTAAAAGAATGGGTGGTCAACTGTGGCAAACCAAAAAAATCTTGAGAATTTCACATTTCACCCGTTTGTCTTGGATGCTTTTCCAACCTTTTGCATACGTGCTCATGCAGAAACATGACAATGGCCTACGTCGGCTGTTCTGGATAATGCAGGAACAAGAGGCTGTTTGCAGAAATCAGTGTGCCGATGTTAGAAAGCTCATGCAGTGCACGTTCCAATTACAAAGTCACCACACGGTGGTGCCATTGCCATACAATGTACATTAAATAGGTGACAGCTCTGATGCTTTGAAAAACGTGCATATTCTTTCTAGGTTGACATCTTTAGGCACGAAAGGCAATAGATGGTAAGTAATAGGGTTAAGTTGGATTTCTAAACTGGACCAAGCTTGAAGTAGTTGTGAGAGTAGGTACGGGTCATTCCAGCAAGGCTGCATTCCCCAAAGCTGCATGAGTGGCTCCGGACACTTTAGTCTTTTTCAGCCTACTGACACAGCTGTAGCTGTGGTTTGCAACCTAGTGTTGCAAACCATACATTCCAAATTATATGGCTTGAGGTTGTCTCAAAGGGAAGGAACTGCCACTCAAAGGTTCTTAGAAGTTCTTCCGCATTGAGGTTGCACCACAGGTACCTCAGTAGGGGAGTCACCAAGCTATGACAAAGTAAAGTGACTAGGAATAAAAATTAGACTTTCAAAAACTACAGCTCATACTTTATCTGAATTTGCCACTGCATTTTAGTTCATCT